CAAGCTATTTCAATTGCTTTTGTTTGATTTCCTCACCGCAAACAGCTGAAAGTCTTCCAATTTTGATAATAAACCTGATTTGCAATAGGGGTTGAGTAATTTTGATTGCAACTGTATATCAAGCTCATACCCTCCAGCATTCCTACGATGGAAATAGGGACATTTCTCACTCCCCCCCAACTGACCCTCCTCGACCCTCCATTTTTTGTCATCCCCCCCCCCCCGGGCCGCACATTTCCTGTCAGACGAAGGGCGAGTGCTGGCACAACTACATCAACAGGAAACAGCACACAAGCCCCCCAACTGTCCTGAGAAAACTGCTTAATCCTGATTTTATATTATATTTTGGTGGATTTACAAAACAAAAAGCACAAACCAATAAATAAATTTTAGAAAAGAGCAAGATTAGACACAGGCAAACAAAGCATTAAAAAAAAAAAAATCAAGACTCCTTGTTCTCCACTCCACTCCCCCTTTCTTTCCACTCAGGGCAGCGCTGCCCTCTGCCTGCCTCTCAGAGCTGGCGCATCATGCGGGCCTTGGCCTTGGTGGCAGCAGCCTCTCCTCCTCACATGCTCTCCAGCAGCTGTTATAAGCTGTTTCTTCAGCAGCCTTCCTCACCTCTGTCTCCTGGCGCCCCTCCTCTCCTGCCTCTGATTCTGGACTGCTCTCTGCCATAGTCTCTTCCTGCTCACTAAACCCTGTTGCCTCTTCAGCTTCCAATGCCTCCTTCTCCCAGTCTTCTCCCTCTGACCACTCATCGTCATCCCACACCCAATTCCTGGGCTCTGAGCCTTCTCCCCCTAGGGTTCCTTTGGGGCTTCCCCAGCTAGTGCCCCCCCCCCATTCCTTTGCATCTAGCCAGTCCATGACAGAACCACATGTACAGTACATGATAGAAGAAAGGCAGGGTATAAAATTGAAGACAAAATCATATTTTCTCCCAATATATATATTTACATTTGTATTTTGATATGCTTAAAATGGTCAAGAAGTTCAGTTTCCAGCTTCTGTATCAGGGCTGGGAAAAGCTCATCTACGAAACTGTGAAGAGCCCCTTTCAGTCACTGTAGACAACAGTGAACTTTATAACATCTTGGTATAAAGCAACTTCTTATGTTCCTAGGACAGAATGCCCCTGGAATGACATTACTGTCACATCCGCACCATAGGTATAAAATACAACTCTCCCCCACAAGTATCCCGGGAACTGTAGTTTACTTCTCATGCAGCTGCAATTCCCAGCACCCTTAATAAATGACAGTCCCTAGCATTCTTTGGGGGAAGCCATGCGGCAAGAGCAGTCAGCTGTTGCTTGAACTGGCACCAAAGATTTTTCCTCTCTTTTTTTTGGCAAGCTTTTAAATAAGAAGGGGGAAACCACTCAGCCACCTCAAATTTAAAAGTGAGCCCCTCTGAAAATTATAACAATTTTCCTGCTGCCAAAAATTAATACAAACTTTGGGGGCATTTTTACTCTACCCAAACCTCCCAAAATTTGGCTGCGGAGATACATGGAGAAAGCGAAAGAGAGAGAACAACCCTAAGTTATCCTGTGTCACAACAGCTTGTTGAAGATTGAGAAATACTACAGAGGAAAGAGCACAAATTCCCATTTGTCATCTGGTATCTGACAATTCTATTCAGCCAGGCAAGTTGCCCACATAATGAATAAAAAAAATCTATATTTTCCTCAGAATACATTCTCTGTAGTTGCTGGCTGTGTTTCTCTAGACATAGTAGCACTAAGCTCTTGAGAGCCATATTTTCATAAAGATGGATCTGGAATGTTTCCTAGGTTATACATCTGCACGCTCCATCTAATTTGCATATTAGAACATAAGGCTGACCAGCGGACAGGCAGAATAATTATATACAATCCAAGTGGTTTGGCTGAGCTTTCTGCTACTTTTGAAGATTCATCTCCACACCTCCTAAAATTAAGTAGGCTTTTGGCGATCTGGCTGTCAAATTCCATCCAAGGTACCCGTGTGATATCACTGGCATAACTGCAGGACTTGTCAGAAACCAGGTGTTACATTCTACATAGGCCACCAATAGCTATCTATTAAAGTGTCTGCACCACATTTATCAAAACCATTTCTCTTTTGTTCTATATTTTTTCCACACAGTCAATTCGCAATACTTACAAGCTGATGGCTGCATAAAGCATTAGTTGATACTCAAGTTTATCTCCAGGAAAACAGAATCAGAGCCATACTCCTTCTTTGTCATGGATCTAACAGCCACTTCACACATTATGGTTTCTGCGATGTACACTGAAGATGTTTGAAGTTTGCATCTCCAAATGGGGATGACCAAACACATGTCTCACAGAGGTCCACTTGTCAGAGAGCTCCACTTGGTGGCAGCTCCCTGTTGAGTTTTCCTGGGTTTTCTGCCATGTAATGGATGACGCAGCCCTACAATGATAATACCTGCTTGTGCTACTGTTTGTTGGGCCTAACATGAAGCAAGGAGTTGTAGCATCTTTCTTCTGTTATACATCTAATCTGTTTTAGAAAGTATAAAGGTACTCTGTTATTGCCAGGAGGGTTCGCATCAAGAATGGATTATTGCAGTAGGGTCTACCTAAGCTGCCTACCTAAGCTGCCTTAGGGTCTACTTTGGCCACCTCATGAGAAGAGAAGACTCCTGGAAAAGACCCTGATGTTGGGAAAGATGGCGGGCACAAGGAGAAGGGGACGACAGAGGACGAGATGGTTAGACAGTGTTCTCGAAGCTACGAACATGAGTTTGACCAAACTGCGGGAGGCAGTGGAAGACAGGAGTGCCTGGCGTGCTCTGGTCCATTGGGTCACGAAGAGTCGGACACGACTAAACGACTAAACAACAACAAGCCGCCTTTGATGAGCTTCCAGAAACCATATGCAATAGCTGAAGGTTTGATTGGATCCAGTTTGGGGGAGCATGTGACTCCCCTTTTTGCAACTGGTTATTTCCAGACCCAGCCCAAAATTCTGGTTGCAACTCTTGAACTCCTGAAAGGAATGGGATCAGCATATCTAAAGATCTGTCCCCTTTTAAATAAGCCTACCTGCTCATTCAGGTTACCTGGGAAGAACCTCTAGCACATGTGTAGGCAAACTAAGGCCCAGGGGCCGGATCTGGCCCAATCACCTTCTAAATCCGGCCCATGGACGGTCCAGGAATCAGCATGTTTTTACATGAGTAGAATGTGTGTTTTTATTTAAAATGCATCTCTGGGTTATTTGTGGGGCATAGGAATTCGTTCATTCCCCCCCCCCTTCAAAATATAGTCTGGCCCCCCACAAGGTCTGAGGGACAGTGGACCGGCCCCCTGCTGAAAAAGTTTGCTGACCCCTGCTCTAGCATCTCTCACATCTAACATGGCTGCGATAAGTGAGAGGCCCTTTCCTGGCTTATTTCCAGCTGGAACTCATTGGAACTCAGTTCATGTGAGCACCATTGCCATTCAAGGAGAACGAGTGAGGTTTTCATGGTGAGTTCTGGCACCTCTTTTCTGGAAAAATAGCATGGCCTGTGACCATCCCAAGACTCTTTAACCCCCTGCATCTTTGATGGCTTATCGCCATCTCACAAAGACCATTTTCTTTCAGCAGCATATGGCCTGTTAAGTGGATGATTTTAAGCTAAGTTTTGTGGAGTGGAGCTTTTCTTATCTGTTGTCTCATACATTTTTCAAATTGTCTGCTTTCTTGTTGATATGTTTTAAAATTTTGTCACCTGAATGACTTTTTAATTAGAAAAAAATGATATAAGATTTTTGTGCTTTATCTATTGTTATTTCCAGAATTTAACAATCAGTCTCTCTTCCTAAGGTGCTCTGAGAATTGGAGCTCTGTGGGTGGAATAGGATTCTTCTAACAACTCTTAACACCCGTAACAAACTACAGTTCCCAGGATTCTTTGGGCGAAGCCAAGAATGTGAAAAGTGGTGTAATGATGCTTTAAAGGCGTGGTGTGGATCACTGAGGCAGCTTGCAAGAACTGTGGCTACAGTTGAGGGAGAGGAGGCCAAATGCATTAGGGCTCTCCTTATGTTCTCAACTTTAGGAGGGATGGCATTGGCCAGCAAATAGTCCCAGGCAGGTATGTGGCCAGGAAGAAGCAGACAGAGGGTTCTGTCTAGCTCAACTTTCCATTTTCATGTAGAATCGAGTTAGGCTTTGAGAAGACAAGGGCACTCGTAAAAGCTCACCTCAAGTGAGAGGTGAGCTTTTAAGAAACCCAATCTTTTCAGCTGAGGTGGAAGGACATTTTTTCTGAATCTTAGATGCTTCCTGATTTGGAGAGAAAATATATTTCTTTCTTACTTTGAGGTGAGGAGCACTTCCCCATCTTTCTGGGAAGCCAAGGGAGACAGCAGATTCCTGTTATGTTCCCTGATATGCTTCTGTTTACATAGAGGTTCTATCACAATTAACAGCTGTTGATAGACTTATTCTCCAGGAATTTGTAGTGTCTTTTTTCAAAAGTATCTAAGCGGTTAGCCACTACCACCAATTTCTGGTTGTGATTTCCAACCATTAATTATGCATTCCACCTAAATATATAGGAAGTGTGTAGACTTTTATCACTTCATTCATATTTATCCCATTTAACCTTGTGCCCAATAACAATGAATTAACCCTTTCTGTACCTATGAGTCACAGTCCCCATGTTATTCCAGTGGCACCATTGGTAGTCTCATATCACATCAGCCTGAGACACTGGTGCTCCTGAACCACTGGTATAGTGCATCCATGCCATACAAGGGCAATTAGAAGCTCATTAGGCTAGTTTTCTGAACCTCACATTGATTCTCAGTACCGTTGACCACCAGATCTTGTTTGCTCTCCTGCTATATATGGGATTGGAAGGCAATGTTTGACAGTCATCCCAACCCTATATTCTAAGGTAGTCTTAGAAACTGGACTACCAATGCACTAATAGAAAAAAGAATTTAGGGCTCACCCAGACTTACTTTTGTGCTGCGTTTCTAGGCACAGGTTTGTGCTTTAGAGCGCCACATCGAAGCATTTTTTTTTGTTTTTTTGCCCCAGCCCTTTCCCCATGAAGCCCCGTTCTTTACCACTGAATTTGAGCAAATGGCAATCCAAGAAAACCTGGATTGCCATTTGTTCCGATTCAGCATTAAAGAGTGGGTTTTCACAGGGACAGCACTGGTGCAAAAACAAAAACAAACAAACCTGCTCAGACATAGTGCTTTAAAGTGTGGCCCTATACCTAGAAAGTGTGGGGCAAAAGGTGAGTGTGGATGAGCCCCTAGTCCAGGTTGTCTATAATAATGCTGCCCTGAACACCTTTGGGAGGTAGGGTGAGACAGAAATCTAGATCAACAACAACAACATTGCGGAGCTGTCCTTCATTTAGAGAGCAATATAAGAAGGAGAAAGGTAGAACCAAGAGAAGCAATGAAGGTGAAAATGATGGGTGGGGGTGAATATTCACATGAAGTGCTTGGGGAAAATATCCCCCCCCCCGAAACATCTATCTATCCATCATCTATCTATCTATCTATCTATCTATCATCTATCTATCTATCATCTATTTTGCATGTAAACAAAAACTAGAGTGTATCTAGTGCTGATCTAACCTTTATATTTAATTCCCTGTTTAGGGAAGCTTTTAATGTTTAATAGGTTATTGTATTTTAGTGTTTTGTTGGAAGCCGCCCAGAGTGGCTGGGGAAACCCAGCCAGATGGGCGGGGTATAAATAAATTGTTGTTGTTGTTGTTGTTGTTGTTGTTGTTGTTGTTGTTGTTATTTTCTGAGGACTCTACATTTTTTTTAGCTTTAAGCTGAAATACTGAGTAGGATTTGCAATGCTTGGACTGGTACAAATGCTGTTAAGTGACATGTCAGTCCCTAGTTTGGACTCAGTAAGCCTAAAACTGGAATTCCACCAATGACCTTTAGCATCATTATTATTTCGAGATATTCATGCTTCCTTGTTAAAGCTGGTTCAGACTGAAAATAATTTCAAATAATCATGTATGCTTATTTCCTGTTGTGACTTTGTGTTCTTAACTAACAGTACCTGATAACATTTAGAGATATATCTTCTCACCTGGAAAACCTAACAGCTGTCTTTTCTCTCTCCTTTGAAATATGTTTCCTGCTTCCTACTACTAAAAGGCAATTCCAGTCCTGTGTATGGTTTTCTTTCTTTCTTTTTGTCCCATACCTACCATTGCCCGAGCTATTTCAGAACTAGAAACCAATTTGGTATTCTGTGAAATACATGAGGGGGGGGGGGAGGTTAACAAGCCTACAAAGTTGCGAGATTTTTCATGGAAAATTCTGTGAACAATATTCTCCCTCCCTTCCTCATACAACATGAGATGGTTAGTTCATGCATCCTGAATACCTAGGGAGCAGCAGGTTCAACACACATGCCTGAGCAGAAGGGTCTTTTCTAATGAACTGGTGCTTGGCTATGTCAACTTTGACAATGCTTGTCATCTGCTGTAGAAAGGGGGCGGGCTGTTATCAAGACCTTGCTTCAGTCCCACAAACAGGTGATGACAGTACCATTTGTTTGGTGATGGTAGAAAACACAACTAACCCAGGATGCAAGATAAAAGGGTTTTCTTCCTGCACCACGGAGGAAGAATACTAGGCCTGCTTCTGAATGGGTTATCCAGGTGTGTTTATAGGTACAAGATGGTTAGGGTTGGAGAGAACTAAATTTCTCCTGTCAATTTCCCCCAGTTCTTTAATAGCAACTTGCCCTTTCTGCCATCATCGTTTCTTTCTTTTATCATGCAGCTGGGTTACTTCATTTCATAACAACTGTCACTTGGGTATAAAACATATTAAGGTTTCATACTTATTCAGATACAAAGACAAATAATTATTAAATTTCTATGACAAAGAATATGCTCAATGAGGGCCTGGAATATTTTAATGTATAATATTTTCAGAACATTGGAATCCTTAGAAACATCTGGAAAAAAGAGAGATGAAGCAAGAAAACTGTTTAGTCTTGTTGTGAGTAACACAGTAGCATACGATTACATTGATAGCGCTTGCAATTTAAGAAAACTGTTGCATGAAATATTTTGTTTAGTATTCATTAAAGGCTGCTAATGCACTTTTTATGGACTAAATTTTTAATGCGTGTTATTTGTATAATTTGGATATGTGCGGGGGGAAGCAAAGACTTTGGTGTTAAAAATGTGATACGGATTTTTACACCAATCTGAGTATTAATTTGTACAGGATTTTTTTTTTTAAAAAAACAAAACACCAGATCCCATCTTTTAATGATTGTTATCCCAACTCTATTTTTTAAGCTCATTTTGTCACTGTTTTGTAACAGAAACACTGTAAATATTATAGATGTGGTAAACTATTATACTTGTTTTCTTATAAATGAAATGATCTGTGCCAACACTGACAAAATGAATTAATGTGTTACTAAGGCAACAGTCACATTATATGCTTTCTCTTTCACAGTATGCAGTAGAGCATATGGTTTACTCTTAATGGAACACTAGCTTCTCATTAACATACCAGTAGCAATGTCAGAACTTACAAACCATCATAACAGGGAAATGGGGGGGGGGCTTATAAATTAGACCCTTTCAGTGCTATTGAGAAGAAAATGACTGATCTTCTAAGGCACATTATTTAGCTAACACAGCCCCCTTTTTTCACTTTTCATCTCCCCCCCCAAAAAAACTTTTCTCTTGTTATAAACATAAATATAAACATAAATATTGAAGTGCAAGTCATTTATTACCCTACTTAAAATAATGAGTGACACCCATGTTTAAAAAGGATTCCTCAGCACCCTTAACCTCTCAGAAATGTTTCTCAACAGCTGTAATTTCCCCCCTTACCAATCAACATCTACAATATAAAGAAGCTAATCCAGGCAAATGCACCAAAGAAGAAAATGAACCCTTTAAAAACGGGTGGGGGGGGTATTTCACTGGCAAGGCATGAGGTTATAAATAAGGCAGAATGGAAGAAGCACTGGAGCTACTAACACTTTGAATGATCTTTTAGGAAGCAATACTGTTTATTTGAACCAGGATGCACACACAGAGAGAGAGCTCGATATTGTGGTGTCCCCATTCATTTCAAATTAGGGAGCCAATGTGTATAGATTCAGGGTATATGGGTGCAGTTTGGCTCTCTCCATTGAAATAAATGGGGAAAGTTATTCATAGGGAAGCTTCATGCACACATTGGGTCACCTGCAGACTGCAAAGGCACGACACTAGCATGGAAGCAGGTAGTATTGATTTTAGTAAAACTTACTTCCATATAATCAGAATGCTGAATCTGGAGCAGCTGCACCAACATGGAAGCCGATCATATTGATTTCAATAAAGCTTATTTTCATATGACATGTCCAGGATCAAAATGCTTGAATGCAGTACTACCTATACACTAAATCATATTCGTAAAACAATCCAGTTTTTTTTCAGGGGAAACAGTGAAACAAAACTTCTGTAGACAACCTTGAGAGCTACATGTGAGGAAGGTTAAGGAATATGAATAGGTAAGTCTCAGCACCCTCCAAAAACAGAAATGCAGTTTATGGGATAGATATTTGGGATTAGAGAAATAGTCAATTCAGTTTACGTTGAAAGCAGAACTTCTCAAATTTGCACTTTCCAAAATAAGATGAGAACTGAAACATAGCTGTCATTCAAAATTCACATTTACCCAAATTTTGCGATGCAGTTCTCTAACCAACCAATGTTTACAAAAATGCATATATTGGGTAAAAGTGCATGAAAATGAATATATTAGGGAAAACAGCATACAAAAATGCATTATGTCAATAGATACAACTTTCAAAAATGTGTTAGTCAGTCAAAACTGCATGCAAAAAAGTACTTTAGAATAAATTTGCAATAAAATGCTGAAGAACTTTCATAAGGATTTTTTAAAAGAAAATTTGCAGATGAATGCAGAAATGTGGAGGACCAAATTTAAGATTGGAAAAACAAGAAACAGAGAAAACCGAGTCTGACAGATCCTTCCATCCCAATTAGACTGAGGTTTGCAGAGTGTGAATTGTTTTGGCAACCCCTACAATACTAGATAAATTTTGGACATACCACACATTTAAAGCCTAAGGTAGAACCTCTGTCTTCACCTTTCTAAAACATATGGCTAAAGTAGAAACTCTGTAAAGAAATTGATAGCTATTTAAAAACAATTTTAAAGCCCTTTAGTTAGTAATCTGATGGTGCGGTTCCTGCAAAGTATATTTATGCTCATTCTTGATTATTGAAATGTGACAGAATGTAAAATTTATCACAACTGTTTCCAGTGTATCCCACCAAGCATAGCTGATCAAGTCACAATATAGTGCTGCAGCCAGGAACCCAGCTGAAGTCAGTTTAACTGGACTACAAGGGAGCAATTCCCTTTGCACAAAACTACTTATATTTTGGCAATATAAGCACCACAGCATAAACAGACTCCCTTGGAATGGGGTGGACTCTCCTTCATTAGAGGTTTTTTAACAGAGGTAATGGATGCTTTAGTTGAAATTCCTGCATTGTAGGGAGTTGGACTAGATAACCCTTGGGCTGATTCTATGATTCTGTGATCATTCTATGCTATTCTATGCTATTTTTCTCAAAAAGCATTTTAAAATGTTCTTCACAGTTACAGTATCTGTTTAGAATGTGTGTTTATAATCCTGGGGATAATCAGGAACATATTTGTTGTGTCTATTTGTTGCCTCTGACTATTCACAAGCTTGCAAAAAGATAATAATTCTGCAGTGTACTTGCAAGTGTCTTGCCCTGGAAAGACATGTTGTGAAAAACATGCAATTTTTCAAGGTCCATTTTTTGAACCAGGAAGACGCAGATTTCTCTGGAAAATCTGATCCATTGGCCTGTTTGAATTTTCTAGCTGTGTGACTGTTCTACAAACTATTGCACTTATTCTGCCTCTAGGAGATGAGTTGAGATGCACTGAAGATAATTTGCACTTTTGTATCCCTGAACTTGGAAAATAGCAGGATATGCTCATGCTTTTGCATTTCCAGACTTAATGTGTGAAATGGTAACACACATATCACACATGCAGATATCAGTCCGGTCCATGTACTTCATTTTAGTTCATTAAGCTTTCACATCTCATATTTTTATACTTTGCATTTGCAGGGTTGAAGACGCACAGGTAAATCCTGCTTTTTCAAAACACAGGGAAATAAGAGTCTTTGTGCGGTTCTGTT